AAAAAAAGAAGCACACAAACAAAGTACAAAGCGGCAGATAGATGTCTCCAGGCTCCCCTGGCTTCATCACCAGGTGTGCAGCCAAAACAAACGCAGACACACGGAATATTCTGGTAAGAGGAACTGAGATATTTTTGTTTCTCCTATCCAAGCCTCATGAACGAGGACTGGATGGCAGCGCCGTGTTTATCTTCTCTGTTCTCATCACTTCTGCGGCGGGTCTGTTCACCGCTCAAGGCCTGCGGCGAGCCCCAAACGTTCACTTCTCAGGGTTTGCGTTCCCTTCGTAACAGGCCCCCCAGCACAGGGCTGGCCTGAGGAGCAGCAGATACCAGCACAAGTTTGCTCCTCCTCAAAGGCATCGACCATGTGCTCTCCTTGCTTTTGGACCAGGGCCTCAAGGCCCAAAACAATGCAGGGCTCACAGTAGATCTGCTCGCTTGGCAGCCCAGCATGTGGGTGACCCGTCTCAGCCCTCCTAAAAGCCTGGAATAGTTAGGCACACATTTCCCAAACAGGATGAGACCTCCTGAAAAACTCCTCAGCACTGGAGATATGTGAACGGTGCTCCTGGAGGAAGAATTATTTCTAAGGCAGGCTTTGTAGCCTACTGATCAATAGTTGTAGCCTACCGATCTCTCCTCAGAAAGAAGGAATCAAAATTACCTTCATAGCATCAAGGTTCCCAGACAAAACCTCAGTGATGTGCACTGCTAAGAAAGCTAGAGTTAAAAGGAATTATTTTCAGAACGATGAGGTTTTGTTGTTGCTCAGAAGGCCCATTATGATTCACATGTTTTTATTTTCCGTATCATCTGGTGTCTATTATTCCAGCTTTCAAACTCTGAATTGGGTATTTACATACTTCTGTGGAATCTGGTATGTAAAAACTGCAGAATTAGATAGYCTCTTCCCACAGGAAGAAGATGTAGCTTTCACTATTATCAGAAACAGCCAAAAGCAGATTCTGCTTTTAACATCCAAATACTTATTTAGTATCAACCTGTCTTCTTGTTTTGGCCACCTTAAAATTCTTAGTATATTTCTCCTTTACAACTAAGCAGCTTGATACTTTTAGAAAAGATGCCATTCCAAGAGCTTATTTGGAGAGTCTTACACTTAAAAACAAAAACAATGGTAGCATGAATTTCCTTAGCTTTGCTTGGGCATTCTTCCTCTCTTGCTTTGCCAAGGGCTTTCATTATTTTGCAGTCCCTCTAGAGTGCAAGATTTAGCAATTTGTGAGGATTAACTTGTGTAAAGGGCTTCTGTTGGTTTTCTGAGAATCATCTTCTCTATCCTAGCACACAGGTGCAACCCTGGCCCTCCATAAGCGCTTCGAACAGAGTCCAAAGCCAACTGAAGGCACGGGAGGTTTTCCATGGACCTCAGTGAGCACCGAAGCACACTTGGTTCCCCCTCCAAAACACATGGAAGTAGTGGAAACATGTGGAAAGGAATGAATTGACTTACCTGGTGACCAAACAAAAAACAGATTGCGGGTTTGGGGTATTTTTCCTTCTTAAAGCAGCAGCTGAAGAAAGGATGAGGGAGGTACCTCAGAAAAACACAGCCAAGGAGCCATTGTTTTGTAAGGAACAATGTTACGTTAAACTGGCAGATCCCTTCTACCGGAGCTCCTCCACTACTCTTCATGACAGGACAGGATGATGTCCCAAGCAGCTAAGACCACTTCTTACCACTGTGCTGACTTGACACGTTAAGCAAGTGGTATGAAAGCCACAGAACTTACACAGGTCTTGAGAAAGGATGCCCAAACTCCTGGAAACCTTTTGATGGTCCTATTGCAAGACCAGGATGCCTGGATACAAGGGTGGAAAAAGACAGAAGAGGAGAGCTTTTCCCTGAGCTGCCCATCAACTGAGCCAGAGCTGCATGTTCCTCAGTCTTTTTCCTATTTCCCAACACAAAGGCCTAGGAGAAATCCAGGAAAGCAGTGACAAGTGTTGGCCCAGAGTTGGAAGAGGATCTAGTCATTCATGTCTGAAAAAATAAAATGACATAGAATTCTACACCGAAGTCAGAAAGCAGAAGAAAGAAAAATAAGCACGAGAAGAGTTAAAAGATGTATTTTAAATAATGTAAAACAYGAAGCCAAAATGAAAACATGGAAGACAGAAAAAATGAAGAAAAAGGAAACACCACAAAAGGTTGAGTATGTGTTAAAGAAAAAATCTTCCAAAGCAAGCTAACAATATGAGGTCTTCCGAACTAGAAGGCAAAGACCCTGCAGTCCTGTCAAGAGGCAAAACAAGCTGTGAAGTGACTCRCCAAACATGGAAAAACAACAGGTATGCTGCAGTTCTCATGACCAGAATTTTGCACCATCAGACCTACCTACAGATTACATCCACAGAAGGAGTAATAAGATTAGCAAATAGTTAAATCCCTGCCTGCATTGCAGATCTAAAAGACGTCAATACCCATCCTCCGAGTACAACAGGATTCTCTTGCCCAAAAGGTTAGATGATTATGGTTAAATGAAAGGGAAGCAGTAGAAGTTATTGTCCATATGGTGCCCTTCTAACAGAGCCATATATATATATATTACTATTGTGTGCAGTTAGCAACACATAAGAATGTCTTGGGTGTCTCCACAAGGGATGAAGAGAGAAAGCCTTTCCAGAAGTGCTTAAAACATTTTAATGCTTGGTAAGTGGTTTTGCCATTCTGAAAACTTTACACAGAGTACAGCCACTGGCACAAAGTATGTGTCAACCCTGCTGAAAGCTACTGCCTCACCACATGAGCCTAAACTTATGAACAGAATCCACGGTCTCCACTGTGATGCAAAATTATGCCAAAACTACAAGCTTGACACACACATGCACACCTTTGGATCATATATGATGGAAAAATGCACAGTGAGAATTAAGAAAAGCAGTAGACAAATGGTTTCGTCTGGATAGAAATATGCTTGCAAAACCAAATTATACCAAAAATCTATGCAATATTATACCAAAATAACTCACAAAATATACGTCTGAAAGCAAACAGGAGTGAACTATCAACAATAGTTATTTACACAGAAATACACTTTTGTTAGAAATGGAGCTTAKGAGAATTAGGAAGAGACTCCCATCTGAAATTCAATGGGACTCAAAAACTACCAGCTCACAGAGTGGTGGGAAATGATACAGTCATGAGTAGCAACAGCTTGAAAAGTGGGAAGGTGGCAAAGCAGGGTGTCATACAAAGATTGCTAAGACTATACACATTTGTTCACTTTATGCCATGCATCACTGACCTGGAAGGAAGAATATGTGGGAGGGTGAAATGTTCTGGCAATAAATTAAGCTGAGGGAGGGGAGGATAGAGAACAGAACAAGATTCAGAGGGATGCAACACAATATTGATGAACAAGCTTAGGGAACCGTACCGCATAAAGATGTTCTATCCAGCACATGTTTAAAAACAAAATTTGAACCCAATCCTAGAAATAATTCTGATTTCTACTAGAGAAMGTTTACATTGCTGGCATGTTGTGAAGGAGATGTAAT